GCCCAGGAGGTAGCGGGAGGCTCCCAACCAGGGGGGGGGGGGGGGGGGGGAGCGGCGCGGGTGCCGCCCCGCGGCCCGCCCCGTCCCGCCCCGCCGGTCACGTAGCTCTGCGGCACCGCAGCGCATTTACCGCGGGGCCGGAGCGCGCAGCCCGCAGTCCGCGCCCGCCGCCGCCGCCGCCGCCCTCCTGCACGGTAACGGGGAGCGGGGGGAGCGGGAGCCGGCGGCCCCGACGGGGGGGTCCCTGCGCCGCCGGGCTGGGCGCTGCGGCAGGCGCAGCCCTGCGCAGCGGGACGCGGCTGGGCACGCGGACGGGATCCCGCAGCGGAAGGGAAGGGAAGGGAACCCGGCGGCGGCGGCATCGCCGCCTCGCGCACGTCGCCGGCCCCGGGGGCAGCGCCCTCCGCGCGGCACCGCCGCCCCGGGGCACCCCCGCGGCTGCCCGTTCCCGGGCCATCCGCCGCTCCGGACGGCGGGGGCGCCGCCTCCGGGGACGGCGGGGTCACCTTCCCCGGGGCGCCGCCGTCCCCGCACGTCCCGGTGCGCGCAGGGCGCCAGGGCATCGCCGTGCCCGGCGCATCCCCATCCGCCGCCTCCCCGCACCCCGGGTTATCCCCCGGGCATCGCGTGCCCGCCGTTCCTGCCCCGTGGTGCGGGCCGCTCTCCCTGCCCTGCGCAGCCGGGCCCCGCTACAAGATGGCTGGGCTGGGGGCGGGCGAGCAGGCAGCAAAATGGCTGGGAGCTCCCCGGCCTCCTCCACGCGGCCGTGCCCGAGCGGCGGGCGCCGCTTACGTAACCGGCGCTCCCCGGGGCCGCGGCCCCCCCGGGGCGCGTGGCGGCCGCCCGTGACGCGTCCCCGCGCAGGCCCCACCATGACGCACCAGTACCCCGCGCTGACGGCCGAGCAGAAGAAGGAGCTGTCGGATATCGCCCTGCGCATCGTGGCCCCAGGCAAGGGCATCTTGGCCGCCGATGAGTCCGTAGGTGAGTCGGGGGCCACCGTCCCCGCGGCCGCTGCTAGTCCAGCCCCTTGTTTTCTCGCCCCCTGCCCACCCTGCAGCGGGTGCCAGCCCGGCTCAGGGCTCACGGGGTGTCCCTGCGGCCGCAGGGAGCATGGCCAAGCGCCTCAACCAGATCGGCGTGGAGAACACGGAGGAGAACCGCCGGCTGTACCGCCAGATCCTCTTCAGCGCCGACAGCCGCGTCAAGAAATGCATCGGCGGCGTCATCTTCTTCCACGAGACCATGTACCAGAAGGCTGATGATGGGACTCCCTTTGTGCAGATGATTAAGGACAAGGGCATCGTCGTGGGCATCAAGGTTGGGGGGGGAGCACCCCGGCACGCCGGCTCTTTGTGGCTGGTGGCATTGGCAGGGACTCAGCACGACCTTCTCCTTCCCTTTGCAGGTGGACAAGGGTGTTGTGCCCCTGGCCGGGACGGATGGAGAAACCACGACTCAGGGTAGGGGACGTGGGAGGGCTGGGGTGCCAGGTCTGGGGGCTCTGTGTTTGAAGATGCCGGGTTTGGGAGTGCCAAGTGTAGGGATTCTGGATCTGGAACTGCTTGAAGTGCCAGGCTCGGAGGTGGCAGCTCTGGGATGGCGCTCGGCTCGGGGGTGCCAGGTTGGAGGTGTGGGGTTTGGGGTGCCGCACTGATGGGCCACCTCGCAGGCCTGGACGGGCTGTCCGAGCGCTGTGCCCAGTACAAGAAGGATGGCGCTGACTTCGCCAAGTGGCGCTGCGTGCTGAAAATCAGCGACAACACCCCCTCTGCCCTCGCCATCATGGAGAACGCCAACGTGCTGGCCCGCTACGCCAGCATCTGCCAGCAGGTATGTGCCCAGGCTGGCATCTGTCATCCCATGAGGATGGTGTCACGGCATGGGGATGGACTCGGTGATCTTGAAGGTCTTTTCCAGCCCTATGATTCTATGGTGATGGGCATCACTCGTCTTCAAGGACAAGGGTTGCATGCCAAGGCTGGGCATGTGCCCATGGGTTTGGGCATCTACCTGTGGGTTTGGGCATCACCCGTAGGGTTGGACATCACCCATAGGGTTGGGCCTTAGGCCCTGGGGCTGGGCATCACCCCACCGGGTTCCACAACCGGGGCCATGCCCAGGACCCTCCACCCACTGGCATCACCCTGTGCCTTGCAGAACGGCATCGTGCCCATCGTGGAGCCGGAGATCCTGCCGGATGGGGACCATGACCTCAAGCGGTGCCAGTACGTGACGGAGAAGGTGAGCGTTGTCGCGTGGTGGGCACTGGGGCGGGCGCTGGGCCGTGTTGTGCCACGTCCTCCCCACTGCGCGCTGTCCCCGCCAGGTGCTGGCGGCCGTGTACAAGGCGCTGAGTGACCACCACGTCTACCTGGAGGGCACCCTTCTGAAGCCCAACATGGTGACCCCGGGCCACTCCTGCCCCACCAAGTACAGCCCTGAGGAGATCGCCATGGCCACCGTCACCGCCCTGCGCCGCACTGTCCCCCCGGCTGTCCCAGGTAGCGGGATGGCCACGGGAGGCAACAGGCCAGGCTCCTGTTTCGGGGGTCTCTGTTGGGGCTGAAACGCCGCTCCCCGCAGGCGTCACCTTCCTCTCCGGAGGCCAGAGCGAGGAGGAGGCCTCCATCAACCTCAACGCCATCAACACGTGCCCGCTGGCGCGGCCCTGGGCCCTCACCTTCTCGTACGGGCGGGCGCTGCAGGCGTCGGCGCTCAGCGCCTGGCGCGGGCAGCGCGACAACGCCAGCGCCGCCACTGAGGAGTTCGTCAAGCGCGCCGAGGTAACGGCCCGGCCCTGCCGGGGGACACGGCCCCGACCAGCGGGGACACCGAGGGCTCTGTCCCCATGGGGAGATGGGGACGCTGAGCGCTGTATCCCATGGGGTGAAGGCTTGGGTGCTTGTGGGATGGAGGACACCAAGGGTCACGTCCTGTGAGATGATGGGGGACACTGAGCACCAAGGCCCATGGGGTGAAGGATTGGATCCCCCTGGGACGGAGGACACCAGGGATCACGTCCCACGTGGTGATGGGGGGACACAAGGGACCGTGTCCCGTGGAGTGATGGGGGAAAACAAGGACTGTGTCCCCATGGGGTGGCGGGGGACACTGAGGACCACATCCCATGAGGGTACAGAGGGGAGAACAAGGGCCGTGTCCCCAGGGGGTGATGGGGGACACTGAGGACCACATCCCACAGGATGATGGGGGCACTAAAGGGCTGCATTCCCAGGGGATGGGGGACACCGAGGGCTCCATCCCAGTGGGTGATGGGGGACACTGAGGACCACGTCCCACAGGGTGATAGGGGCTCTAAAGGGCCGTGTCCCCGTGGGATGGGGGACACCGAGGGCCCCATCCCAGCGGGTGATGGGGGACACTGAGGACCACGTCCCACAGGGTGATAGGGGCTCTAAAGGGCCGTGTCCCCGCGGGATGGGGGCCGCCAGGGCCACGTCCGCGGGGGCCGCTCGCTGACGCGTCCCTTGCCCGCAGGTGAACGGGCTGGCGGCGCTGGGCCAGTACGAGGGCAGCGGCGACGAGTCGGGCGCCGCGGCGCAGTCCCTCTACGTGGCCAACCACGCGTACTGAGCGCGCCGGCCCGCGCCCCCCGCCACCGCTCACACCCGCTTGCACCCCGGGGCGCAGCACGGGCCGCCCCCCGCGCCGGGGCGGGGGGACACGGTGCCGCCCGCACCCCCCGTTGGTTACGGGGGGGGGGGGCTCCGCGGTGCGGGGGGAGGCCCGGCCGCGGGAGGGGAGGCCCGGGGTGCCCCTGCCCGGCCGTAGCTTCAGCCAGTCCCGGTGGGTCCCCCTCCTTCCCCCCGCACACCAACAGCCCCCGGGGGGGCCCCCGCCGCCCGTGTCGTGTTGTGCGTGTGCACCCCGTGTACCGAATAGCCTAACATCGAATAAACGGTAGCGACAGCGCCGCGCCTCCGCCTCCCGCCGCGCCGGGCGCCCCGGGGCTCACCCGTGCAACGAGCTGCGCGCGGCCTCGGCCCACGCGCACCCGCCACGGGGGCTAGAGGGGCCCGTGGGGTGGGCGAGGGGCTGTATAGGGACCGGGGGGTGGGCGAGGGGCCGCGGGGATGGGAAAGGGGCCGTATAGGGACCGGGGGGTGGGCGAGGGGCCGCGGGGATGGGAAAGGGGCCGTATAGGGACCGGGGGGTGGGCGAGGGTCGCCCGGGCAGCCCCCGGTCCCTCGCGCTACGCGTGCGCGCTCCGCGCCGCCCCGCCGAGGCCTCTTGTCCCTCCGACGCACCCGTAGTAGCGGCGCGGCCGCAGGCCGCCCCCTCGAGGCGCGCAGCGAGCGCTGATTGGCGCTACCGTTTGCCCAAGAGCGCGGGCGAGCCCGCGCTCATTGGCTGCTCCGCAGACGGGGCGCTCTGACAGGCTGGGCGGGGAGGGAGCCCCGCCCCTCGCGCTCGGGGAGGGAAGCGAAGATGGCGGCGGCGGCGCCGGGCGCAGCGGCCGTGGATGCGGCAGGTACCGGGCGGGGGATGCGGGACCGGGCCGGGCCGAAGGGACCCGGGCCGAAGGGACCCGGGTCGGGCTGGCCTTCGGCGTTCACCCGTGTCCCCGCAGAGAAGGCGCGGGGCCAGCGGGCCGCGCTCTGCTTCGCGGCCACGGCCGTGCTGCTGGGGCTGCCGCTGTGGTGGAGGACGACGGAGACGTACCGCGCCGCGCTGCCC